TCCGCAGTGGTTCATAGAGGGAGATACATTCGGTTAGGTAAGATATATATGTGTGTGTGTGTGTGTGTGTGTGTGTGTGTGTGTGTATGTATCTGTATATGTGTAGTATATACAGGGAGAGATGCTATCTCAAATATCTAGGTCTTGACCATTTAGGCCTTTGAAAATCATAAGCAACGCTTTTGAATTCAGACTGGGTGTGTGTTGGCAGCCAGTGCAATCCTTTGAAAAACTAGCGTCAGATGGTTTCTATACACATGACGTATGGAGAGACCAAATGCTGGCCTCAAGGACTTTCCAAAAATGGAAAAATGTGGAAATGAATAAAGAAAAAATATATACAAAACCCAAAAACAGCCCACCTAAAGTAGGAGAACCTCAAAGCATTGCACGGAGGATCAAGAATGGAAGAAGGAAGGGGTGGGGATGGAAGGGAATATGCCAGAAAGGGCATGGTTGGCTGTCTGTCTGTCTGGCACCTTGAGCAGGAATACTCCATAGGTCAGTTTCTCACCGCAGCTCCCATATGACATTGGAGATTCAGGGAACCCTTCAAGACGGATGCACTGCTTTTAGACCTTCTATTTTTTGAGCTGGTGTCTACATCTTTCCCTGAGCCAGTAGAAATATCTGTTCAGACTTACTCCCCCCACTTCCCCAAATCAGCTGATTTCCTAGAGCTTAAGGAACAGGATCTCGATCAATGACAATTACATTCAGGAAAGAGGACGGCTGGGGCTTTGAAAGATGGGAGTGGATGGGAGAGGAGGTGGCTACAGGTCTGGACTGGGGGCTAAAAGGACAACAAGCACAGTGTAAGGAAAGAAGGGATGGAGAATGTATAGAATTGAGAGGATGGCAGACTCGGGGAAGGCGGGGGGCACACGTCTGCTTGTCACAAAGGAGGGGAGCGCCTGCCTCACACCTGTCTGCCCTAATTAGCCACCACCGGCTTCATGAATAACAAACTCGGCTAAAAATATTCACAGGAAGGCAGTAGGAAAAAAAGAAAGGGAAGGAAAAAAGCAACCCTATTTATGCCGACTACCATCTCTTTTGCGAGAGCTCCAGGGAACATGGGTAACATGCTGGGGTTGGGGAAACCAACAGGTAGGACAGCAGCTGCCAGAGCTGAGGAAATGAAATAAAATCCTATTTCATAGAACCATACAATTATAGAGTTGGAAGAGACCATAACGGCCATCTAGTCCAACCCCTCAGGAAAATACAATAAAAGCACTCCCAACAGATGGCCATCCAGCCCCTGCTTCTTAAAAAAAAACAGAGAAGGAGATTCCACCAAATTCCCAAGCAGGATATTCCACTGTTGAACAGTTCTTATCATCAGGAAGCTTCTCCTAATGTTTAGGTGGAATGTCTTTTCTTGCAATTTGAACCCATTGCTCTCTGTGTTAACAGCAGCAGAAAAACAAGCCTGCCTCCTCCTCAATGTGACGTCCCTTCATATATTTAAATGTGGCCATCATAGGATTTCAATGTTTATACTAGGATGATTTTATGCATTGTCCGAATTTTTAAATTTTACATATGTCTTAAGTTTAATGGTTTCAAATGATTTTAACTTCATAGTTATATGTAGTCATTAATCATTCTTATTTCTTTGGGTACTGTATGTTGACACTGAATTTTTGCCATTAGTATGTTGCAAACTGCCTTGAGTCCCCCCCAGGGATTAGAAAGGCAGTATATAAATACTGTAAATAAATAAATCATATTGCCACTCAGTCTTCTTTTCTTAAAGCAGTGGTTCCCAACCTTTTTTTGACCAGGGACCACTTTGACCAGGGACTACTTGAACAGAGACCATTTTGACCAGGACCACTTTGAGCAGGGACCACTTTGAGCAGGGTCCACTTGACCAGACACCACATTGACCAGACACCACATTGACCAGACACCACTTTGAGCAGGGACCACATGACCAGGGACCACTTCGACCGGCACCACTTTGACCAGGGACCACTTTGACCAGGGACCACTTTGACCATCGACCACTTGAACAGGGACCACTTTGACCAGGAATCACTTGACCAGGGACTATTTGACCAGAGACCACCTGACCAGGGATCACTCTCCAACATTAGTACCAAAAGTGTTACCAATTAGTTTTTGGTCAACTTTAGATTCAGTTTGGTTATTTGGGGTGCTGACTCAGAAAACTGTATTGAATAGATCCCATCAGCTCTAGTTTCTGATACAGAACATATGCCATCCAGTAGTTCCCATCTACTCGCCCACAGAAAACAGTATTTAATAATCTGTAACTGATGTGGTAATAGTAACCTTTCGTGGGTAGTCAGCCTCTCCCCTCCTGACATTCTTGTTGCCTCGGCACTATAAGAGGGTTTTGCAAGACTAGTCGCTCTTGTTGCTGCATGGTTATGAGGCAACCGTATAGTAATGGTGAAGCCATGGACCATATTTTTGTTCTTGTGGACCACTAGTGGTCCACGGACCACAGTTCGTGGACCACTGTGTTAAAGCTAAGCACCCAAGTCCCTAAGACGCTTCTCATATTGGGATTGCATCTTCCAAAATCCACCACTTGCAGGGCCAATGGTGTGTTCTGGGGGGCTAAAGTCCACTCGTGACTTCTCTCAGCTCCAGTCTCCTGTACTTCGCTCTCCTAACCTTTTCTTTATTCTGTCTGTCCTTGTTATTTTCCCTATAAATTGCCTCTCTTTATCCTGGCCAGCTCAATTGCTGGCTTTATGCCTTTCCTTGTACAAGCCTTTTTACTCACATCATTCACTGTTGTTTTATTCTGCAACCTTTTAAGTATGCCATGCAAGCCGTAGAAATCTTTTCTTATTTGCTTCTTGCAAAACAATCCCCTCGGGGCCAAACTGCACAACGTTCATGACAGCCAGGACTGAATCTCTGCGTATATAAAACATTGAAATAGGTGCAAGAAAGTCCAATTTTGACTGGATCAGCGATGTTGGGAGTACTTAGAAAATACTTACGCAATCCATATCCGACCTCTAGAAACATATACCAACTCAGATGGGACAAATTAAAGATCCATGATGTGTTTGCACATGCAGTAGGATCCCCATAGGCATGGGGGTTATGTTCCCGGCCAGATTGTGGATATTGAAAAACCACAGATGCAACAAAACATCATTAAATTACTTGATTTCTGGTCTTAGCATATCATAAAGTTGCCATGGAGGACACAGCAAATTCCTAGAGACTGTTTCTCCCTAATGCAAGTAAGTGAAACTGCAGATATGGGTTCCACAATTCCAGGGGTCTTATTATAGAATCATAGAATCAAAGAGTTGGAAGAGACCTCCTGGGCCATCCAGTCCAACCCCCTGCCAAGAACCAGGAATATTGCATTCAAATCACCCCTGACAAATGGGGTGATTTGTACATACATTTTAGATAAAGAAATGGTACAGGGAAGGGTATTCAAGCCTCTCTTGCAATACGATTTCTCTTGAGTTTCTTGTAAAGTATGTAGAAGCCAACTAACAATCTGAAGTGTTAGTTTATCATATTGCGGCTGATTCCATTCTACAGACAGGCCAATGGATACTCCACCACAGACATCAGAAAGGCTGCAAGACCAAGAACAAGCCACGAGAGTAAAAACAAAGACCCATCCAGAGGAAAAGCGCTCTTACCATACATCAAGGGAACCACTGATCGCATAGGGAAGCTGATGAAGAAACACAAAATACAAAATATCTACAGACCCACTAAGAAAATCCACCAAATACTACGTTCAGCAAAGGACAAGAGGGATCCTCCCACCTCTGCAGGAGTGTACCATATACCATGCAGCTGTGGACAAGTCTACATAGGGACCACCAAATGTAGAATTGCCCAAACACGAATCAAGGAACATGAAAGGCACTGCAGACTACTTCAACCAGAGAAGTCAGCCATAGCAGAGCACCTGATGAACCAACCTGGACACAGTATATTATTTGAGAACACAGAAATGCTAGACCACTCTAACCACCATGTCAGACTATACACAGAGAAGCCATTGAAATCCACAAACATGTGGACAATTTCAACAGAAAGGAGGAAAGAATGAAAATGAACAAAATCTGGCTACCAGTATTTAAAAAAAACCTCTAAAATCAGAACAGTAAATAAAAAACAACACACAAAAAGCAGGGGAATTCTTGACAAGAATCAATCAGGGCCAGCTAACACTGTCCAACAAAGGATTTCCCCCAGGCAGCAACCAGCCAGGCTTTGAAGCTGCAAAGCCATCAAATGCTAATCAAAGTGGCCAATTGCAACATTCACACCTGCTTCAAGCAGACAAGAGTTCTTTCTCCCACTCTGGACATTCTACAGATATATAAACCTCACTTACCTAGTTTACAACAGACCCCTCAAGCTCTGAGGTTGCCTGCCATAGATGTAGGTGAAATGTCAGGAGAGAATGTTTCTGGAACATGGCTGTATAGCCCGGAAAACTCACAGCAACCCAGTGATTCTGGCCATGAAAGTCTTCGATAACACAATGGCTGGATCTGCAGCAAGTATTTTACTTATGGTTTTCAGGAGAGGTGACAATGCTTGCAACACCTCCTGAAACTCACCTTCCCATTTCACAGCAACTTCCTTGTTATGGAACAGTTAATTGTGATACCTGGTTTGCACCGCTGCATTGGCTGTGTGAACTCATGGGCTGCACAGGTTTTAAAATGCCAATTTTAAAAATGGCTTATCCCCCTGACAACCAGGAGATGAATCAAGCGGATGGATTTAACTGGGGCAAATTCATGCAGCTGATTAGCACAATTGGACAGACTTCTGTGCCTTGGACTGCTTGGAGGAAGATCAAGAGCTTGGGAAAATTACAGTTTGGACAACCCCTCCAATTCCCCAGCTATTGAGAGGGATTTGGATATATGTACTTCAAAAAGCTAATGTCTTCAAGTTCCAAGGGAGATCCACCCATTTTCTCTCTCTCTTTCTCTCCCCACCCCAAATAGTATCCCCAAACTCACCGAACTGGCTTCCATGATGTCTCTCCAAAGAGGCGTGTCATTGTCCCGCTCAGCAATCTCCAGCAGGTTGTCCAGAACTACCTGGCCAATGAGGTCGTGACGGGAAAAGCGGTCAAAATCGTAGACACTGAAGTGGAGTTTGCGGGAGGGCAGCTCGGCAAAGGGGACGTTGAAGTTAAAAGTCTCATTGAAAACAGGGTTCAGCGTCTTGCGATGCACCTTTGTCTGGAACTTCTTCTTCCGGTCGGGGAGCAGGTACATTTTCACATAGGGGTCGGAGAAGCCGTTGGCATCTTTGGCGGGTAGGTCCAAGGCCCGGAGAATCCTCACCACTAACTGCTCCGTACTGTAGGCGTAGCGCAAGGCAAAGCTTAGCCGCCCACAGCTCTGAGCCTCTCCTTTCTTGGAGTCCGACTCACCTGAGCGCTGTTTATACAATTCTGGCTTGATTTGCCCAATGCTGGTCACTTGTTCCACCTTTTCCTCCCCTCCGATGTGGACTCCAGTGTCTGGGCTGCTCAGCTGCTGGGTCACAGGACGTGGCAGTGTGTTGTACCTGAAGGGAAGAGGACAGTCAAATCAGAGGTCCTCTGTTCCAGGATAAATAGGGGCAATGCTCACCAATTCAATCAAACTACATTATATGAATGTACACCCCAGGCTTCGGCAAACTTTGGCCCTCCAGGTGTTTTGGACTCCAAATCCCACAATTCCTAACAGCCTCAGGCCCTTTCAATGGGACCTACACTAATCCTGGCTAATCTAATTCGCATTGAATTCAATGGGTCTATTCTAATTGAGGAAAGCAATATTTTCTGATCGGCAACAGAGATGCCCAGAATAATCAAGAACATTCTCTCTGTACACGCACAAGAGTACTTGACTATTTGGGGGTACCTTTCGATCCATAGGCATATGTGTGATGCAATAGCCAACTATGTAGTGCTATATCTATACATGTTAGAAATAGCAACCTAATAATAATAATAATAATAATAATAATAATAATAATAATAATAATAATAATCTTTATTTAAACCCCGCCACCATCTCCCCGATGGGGACTCGGAGCGGCTTACATGGGGCCAAGCCCGAACAACTTATTACATCAAAATAAAACCAAAACATGAACAACAAGCATCATCAAAAGTACATGGAAAAAAATGCAATAACAAAATAGCATTACAATAAACAAAAAAACCTTCCAAACCTCCATTAAATGTTGGAAAATGTGTATAATTGTTAACCTATATTACATATACATTTTGGTTTGCCAGTCTGACTATACCTCTTTGGTGTGGGAGGGGCTTCAGACATAGGACTCCATTTTGTATGTAGTAGGCTTTTAGACCTCAATGGAGGTGGATGCAGTTTGTCTTCTTTCAGACTTCAGGGAGTACGGTTATACAGTTTGGACTATATCTATATGCTTAAAGACATTGGACTACGGACTAGTATGCTGAATATATATAGAAGAAGTTTGTTAGTAAACCTGTGATGTTATTTTTAAAGAAGACTACTTTGTTTTGTCTCTTGAGTGCATGTTTTAAACAAGAGGTTTTTAAAGGAGAGGAGATGGGCAACTTCAACTTCAAAAAAACGACCATCTTCTGCTAACCAAACATATTTTTGTAGTGGCATGTCTTTATCCCTGGCAGTTTAAAGACATGGTTCTTTAGTTTAACAGCTGAGTTACCTGTGTGCAATTACAGGAATGCTTATGAATATTACTGGTTCAAAGAGTTTACTTCTAACAAGATCATACTTTTCTTGACTAGTGGTTTTCAAAAGGTGGTGTTCATGTAGATTCACATTTGCCAAATGGATGTGACATCATGTTTACCTTTTCAATAAGGTTATGCTGCAAGGTTATGGAATTTCCAATAGGTTATGAAATTTTCAATAATACATATAAAATAGATTGCAAATATAATCATAGAAAGGCATCATCCACCTTTCTGCCTTTCCATATGAGGCAGGTGAGGGAGCGAGTCCATTGCAGTATGTACAAACGTTACCTAAAGCAAAGTTAAGTATACTTTCTTCTTCAAAATTACTGACTAGGTCATATGGATTTAAAATGCATGCTGATCAAGATATATTACAATGTTCCAGCCCTCATGAGCATGAATAACGTGGGCAAGAAACATCCCATGAAGGCAAAGAAATTAGAGGAAATCTGGTCTTCTGGTGGCCAAAAGGAAGAGATTTTTTCAGCTGTCCAGTTGCCCACCTCTGCAACTCCTAGCTCTGCTTATGGCTTTATTAATGCTCTGCTCATGTCATTCCACCGCACCCCACTTTGCCCAAAACCTCTTTTTCTTTGAGAAGGCAGATGTCTGGGAAGTATATGAGAAGTGAGCCAAAAAAACATTTCAATATATTCTGAAAGCAGACATTGCCTTCTGAAATGACCGCACTCATTGTCAGCAAAGGGTCTGGAAGAGACTATGAACCACTCGCTACCTTTCAGGATCCTGCACTCTGTGTTTGCAAAGTCTCTGAGAAGTTTTAATTCTTACAGCATTGCATGACCTCAACCCCCACATCACGCCAACCTTCAGCAAAACTGGCGGCACTTCCTACCACCTTCCTCCAGCTGCCCTTTTTATCTATTTTCTTTTCCTAACAGCAGCAATAAGATGAACTGACTATTGCTCCACAGGCAGGGAAAGAAAATGACTGAAAATGAGTGGGTGATACACGCTGACTCTTACCATTTTGGTGATTTTGAAACATCTGGCATAACCTCCAGATTCCCACCTGGCAGCACAATTTATTTTCCATGTCCTTACAACAACCCTTAGAGTTTTTCTTTCTTTTTTTTTTTTTTAGAGTTGGGAAAGCAGGGCACTGAGAAGCAGCGTAGCATCTTTTCCTTGAATCCAAGCAAGTTCCAAACCTGCTCCAAAAACCACATCGCATTCGAATTCAGGTTACTTAGTAAATGTAAAGGTGTGCGGGCATCTCATCTGCAACATATCCTGGGATTCCATAGCACTGAGCCATGGCAGGAAAAGTGGTGTCAAACCACACTGATTCTACAGTGTGGATGCAGCTTCAGTGGTATTGGATTCTTCTATACGTGGAATGTAATGTGTGTTTATGAGCCATCTTACCTTTCACTTCAGCTGACTAAATGTCTCAGGATAGGTCCTGATAGGACTGGCACAAATCAGGCATCTGCTTTTATCATTTTATTGTATTATGTTTTTATGTATATTTGCTTCTGTTTTTATGATTGTATATGGTATCAAATATTTGCCTTTTGTATGTGTAAATTGCCCTGAGTCCCTTCGGGGAGAGAGGGCAGGTTAGAAAATAATAATAATAATAATAATAATAATAATAATAATTATTATTATTATTATTATTGAGCCCCCGGTGGTGCAATGGGTTAAACCTTTGTGCCAGCAGGACTGCTGACTGAAAATTCGGTGGTTTGAATCCAGGGAGTGGGGTGAGCTCCCATCTGTCAGCTCCAGCTTCCCATGCAGGGACATGAGAGAAGCTTCCCACAGGATGGTAAAACATCCGGGTGTCCCCTGGGCAACGTCCTTGCAGATGGCCAATTCTCTCACGCCAGAAGCTACTTGCAGTTTCTCAAGTTGCTCCTGACATGAAATATTATTATTGCCAAGTAGACCTACTAAGGTCAATTGATATAAAGGGCATTTTGTTTCAAAGGAAGCTTTTTTGGCTGGGCCTCTCAAATCTGGCTGAGCCCAGTCTCAATCCTTTAACATATATCACCCAACTAAACATCATTTGCAATCCTCCTGAACAACAATTTCTTGACTTTCCCGCTCAGACACCCATTCTTCCCATTGTGCCCCCTCTTTACTTGCCTATGCACATCACTCACCTGGGCGTGGGTGCCAAGCTTGCTACTTGCTGGTGGGAGTGGGCATTGGGGATGGTGCCTTCCTTGGTCCCGGTCTGGCCTTCTACGGGGAGGTCTGGAGAGGTCTGGCTGACCTTGAGGTTGGCCTCCGGGTAGGAATCCATGTCGAGGTAGGACCTCTCAGGCATCTCAGGGCCTAGCTCCACCCGCTCCGCCAGGAGATCTCCGAAAGGGGAGTGATGGAGGTGAGCATGGAGGAGGTGCTCCTTGCGCTGGGATTGTGACGCGGCCCCTTTATCCCGCCAGGGGATCCAGCACAGCTTCCATGAGACAAACAGGGAGACGCCCAGGAGCACGATGCCACAGAAGGTCACAATCACTGAGAGGAGACTGACCAGGATCTCTAGAGGGGAGAAGTGGAGAGGCAGATACCAAGAGGGGAGATCAAGGGTTGGGTGGCTTGTGGAGTCACTTAGTATCGCCATCATCAGGTTCTTTTCTGCCAACCACACTCCCTCCCTTACTCTGGAAAGAACTGTCTGGAACCTTGGACTGTTCTCATCAACTGCCATAAAAACAGTTGACTGCACCGGACAATGGAAGGACTACTTCTATGAGTTTGCATTCCAAAGTCTGGAAACTATACATTTTTCATAATGTAAGTCCTGGATTCCCTCAATGAACAAGCCAATCTCTCATCTATAAAAGGCCTTGGGCAAAGTCAGTTGACATTCTCTAGGAAATACCAGACTCCCAATTCCCAACAATCTCAACCAGATTGGCTAATGGTGACACATGACAGAAAGTGGAATCAAGGTAATTGCAAGAACTATAAGTTTGCTACTCTTGGTTATGGAATTTTTTTACCACTTCTTCTCTTCTGTACTGAGGATCTCTGAATTCTGTGCAGAGCTTAGAAAAAATACTATGGAGGATTACAAATCCCATAATCTTCCAGCCATTGCAGTCACTGTTGTTAAAAGTCAAGACACCATATGAGACCCCCCCCCCCATATACAACCAGAGTTTATTTCAAATTATATGACACGCTTGGTGTGACTTTTAATTTAATTGCTTGTATTGTTGTGATCATTGCTTGTAAGTTTGGTTTATTCAATGCTTAGACCATAGGTCTTTCACATACAAGTCAAGGCAAACAAATAAATACATGGACACGAGATTATCAAATACAATATAAAATACACCATAAAATCCTATAAATCATTAAAATTAAAATTTAACTGGAATCTGCTTTGGATTGCTTTGGAACCCAGTCTTGGCAAAAATGCAAGGCAGAAAAGGAATATTTACTACATGAGTAGAAGTGGACTAACGGTGGCCCTTCAGGTGCTGACATTCATCAACCTCAATCAGTATAGTCAATAGAATAGTATAACAGCATAACACCAACACTTAGAGAACCATATACACATATTTACTTGAGTCTAATGGGCACACCTCAATTTTCAAAACTCTGAAATGGAAAAAAAGGATTTGCTGGCAAATGTAAGGCGCAGCAGCAAAAAGTGCTCTCTTTATAATATGGCCAAAAAAGGTGTGCATCACAGAATCCACATGCTAGGCATTGAATGTTTGCCTTTGTGTCTGTATATGCTGAAATCCGCTTTGAGTCCCCTCAGGGAGATAGGGCAGAATGCAAATAATAATAATAATAATAATAATAATAATAATAATAATAATTATTATTATTATTATTATTATTATTATTATTATTTTACTGACACAAACACAGTATGTCACAGCAAATGAGATATATATGCCGGATTTTGTATTATTATTATTATTATTATTATTATTATTATTATATTTATTTACTTTGCTTCTACACCGCTGTTCTCAGCCCAAAGGCGACTCACAGCGGTTCACAAAACACAGAACACAGCAGAATACAACACCAATATAAAACAGTTAATAACCTAATCTAATACACAATTAATACACAATTACTATGATAACCATTCACTAGCGTCTCGTCACTAAAAACATGATCCAGGTTCGTCATCCATTGTTCCATTCCATTATTATTATTATTATTATTATTATTATTATTATTATTATTATTATTATTACAGTAGAGTCTCGTTTATCTGACATAAACGGGTCAGCAGAATATTGGATAAACAAAAATGGAGTTACCCGTCTGATGTGACGCTAGACACCTAGAATACAGGGACTCAAAGGGTTAAGGCAAGGCAATGCCTTGAGGCTAGAGCAGCCCAGTAGGAAGTGCCTGGATGTGGAAGAGGAGTGTGGATAATCACAGAAGGAAGGAGGGAGGATGCTTCTGTTTCCGGTCCTGCCTCTTTTCCTCTTTCCTTTCTCTTCCTTGTCTTGCCTTTTTTTACTTATTGAGAATGGAGAGAAAGTTGGGGAGCACTCCTTTAATTGAAGGGGAAATGCTGGAAAGGGGGTGTCGGATAAGACGGAATGTCGGATAAGTGAAGGTTGGATAAGCAAGACTCTACTGTTCTCCTTCTTTAAAAACAAAAACTGTTAGAACACCAAAGAATCCTGAGACAGAACGGAAAACCTTGGGGTGCATCTATGCTGTAGAGTGAATGAACTTTAACTGCCTTGGTTCAATGCTATGGGGTCAAGGGGGCTGTAGTTTGGGATCATGGGGGCTGCCAAAGAATGTTGATGCCTTGCCAAACTACAAATCCCAGGATCACATAGCACTGAGCCATGGCAGCTAAATTAGAGGTGACGTCCCTCAAATACAAGTTCTAGTCAGTCCTGCAGCAGCTTCCCCTTTTGCTTTGGCTCAGCACTAAGATTACCATATTACATGAATCTAATGTGCACCCTAATTTTGGGAAGGTAATTTAGCCAAAAAAAAAGGTGAGGATTAGATTCAGGTCAACATGGCATTTCCCTCTACTGTCTTATATTAATTATGAACTAATACTTCAAGTGCTGATCCTGCAAATTTCTTGCAATTTTCAGGGAAGCCAAAGGTTGCAGAACTTCAGTCCCCTTTCTTTAGAAAGAAAAAGCATTCAGGGGGGCAGAGAAAAAAGCCCAGCTCAATGATGGCTTAGCATAGATAGTGGTTAAAGAAAGCGGAAAAACCTCTGGAGAGGAGGAATAAAATGGAGCTTTCTGGAAAAATGCAAAACTGGCTGGCAGGCACTCTGAACACTAGACACTGCAAGATTTTGTTAGAGGTCCAATTTGTTTTTGCTTTTCTAGTACTTGTATCTGTTCTTTCAAAATCCTTTGTTCTCTGTTGTTGAAACATCCTGAATCTTTGGGTTGCTGTGGCCATGTTCCAGAAGCATTCTCTCCTGACGTTTCACTCACATCTATGGCAGGCATTGAAGCTGCAAGGCCATTAGATGCTAATCAAGGTGGCCATTTACAACATTCAAGCAGACAAGATTTCTTTCTCCCACCCTGGACATTCCACAGATATAAACCTCACTTGCCTAGTTTCTAACAGACCTCACAACCTCTGAGGATGCCTGCCATAAATATGGGCAAAATGTCATGAAAGAATGCTTCTGGAACAGGGCTATACAGCCCAAAAAACTCACAGCAACCCAGTGATTCCAGCCATGAAAGCCTTTGACAACACATCCTGAATCTTGTTTCCTATTTAAAGGCACCAAGCTTCCAGCAATAATGTGATGCCTGGGGATGGAGCTACACTGCCACATAATCCAGTTTGAATTGCATTATATGGCAGTGTAGATCCCGTCTCAGCAAACACTGCAGCATTCACTGTTGCAGAAGTTCATAGTTTTTATTTCATTTGGATGTGGCTTGCCTTTTGCAGTAAGATCTGACCTATTTCCAGATCTTAACTCAAATAGTTTCCGAGATGTCAATGAATGTTTAGGTTCCTCCTCCAACTCCAACAAAAATGATGAGGATGAGGACTCGGTGCTTGAGCCTGTTAAAATGCAAAATGTGTTCAAACTGTTGGCTTCTGAAGGACCCATCGGAGCAATCTCAGCTAAGAGACATCAGCCATCCTTTGTCTACATGTCAACAACAGATCTTGGGAGCTCAGGAACTGATCTCCAACCTTCATTCTTTCTCCTTCCTCACCTTTGGGAGCACCTGGCCTGGCTCCTTTGTCCCCTGAGATTATCTTTCTCTTTTTCCCTTGGTGACTCACCTGAGTTCATGGGACCCACATGGCCTGTCAGTTCCTGGCACTTCTCACGCTCCTGGGCCGCACACGTGTTGGCACACAGCACGTGAAGAAGCTCCATTGCCCGCCGGTGTCTGTCTTCATCGTAATCTCCTGACATGATGCCTGAAGATTGCAGGGAGAAGAGAGGCTTTAATGTATGCAAAAAATGAGGTCACTCACAAGCATCTTGGGGCCATGGCTTACATACGGCTGCACTGCAGATCCACACGCTTCTCTTTGGGGTGCTGCTACAGCAGGTTGATCTGTGGATCATTAAAGCACACTCTGACATTGCAAGCAGAGCTTAGATGCATTAGAAATAACTAGCTGTGCTGATTGTGATTCCTTTTTGTAGTAAAGTCATAATCTGATGAGGGAAAATTGGGAAAGGGGAGAGACTGCAGTGTAACTTTAATTTTATGTCACTCTGTAGCAATAAAAGCAACTGAAGAGCCTTGGACACCCTAAAGACAAACATGATCTATTTCGCACAAGCTTTTGGGTGGCTAAGGTGGCTGAAAACACAGGCTGAATTGGACTAGGTTATCTTTAAGGTACCACTTTATTTACTCATAGCTAAACCCGATCACACTTCGCTGTGGCTGAGAAGAAATGGATGAGGTAGTAAATAAAAGTATTGCTGCGAACATAGATTCACCAAGAAAACACATCATTCAATTCAATACCCTACCCTGCTTTGCTGTGTCTATATGGAATGAAAGGAAAGGAAAGGATAACAGGCTTTTATCAGAAATCATTTTAAATTGTAAAACTAGTGGATTGACTACATTTTTGATTTGCCCTTTTTCTGCATAAACATAAAGCTGCAATGGTTTACTGACTCTGGAGCATGTGACATATAAGTGCCCATGAGAGAAGCAATTGTTTTCTTAATTTCAAACTGCACACTTGCAAAGATTCCCCCTGTACTTTATCGATAGTCATAGGAAACACAAGGCGTATTGGAGTCAATAGTACTCGGACGCCATGACGGTAGGAATGAATGGTTTGCCAATAGAAACCAATCACAGCTCAGCTTTCATTTCTTATACTGCTGAGGTGAAATGACAGCTGCTCTGTGTTTGGTTGGTATCTCTTGTAGTGCTGAGGTAAAAAGAAAGCTGCGCTGTGATTGGCTGTTATTCTTCTGCTGCGGTTAAATGAAAGCTGCTCAGTGATAGGTTGTTGTTTCTTTTATTGCTGTGGTAAAAGGAAAGCTGCATAGGGATTGGTTGCTAGAGCTCAGTTTTCATTTCTTATACTGCTGAGATAAAATGAAAGCTAGGCTGTGAGCGGCTGTTTTGGGCATCACTGTAAGGGCTCAGCCTATAATTGGCTCTTTGCCTCAGGCTTCAAAGGAGAATGATCATGAGCCTGCAGAGGTGCCTTCACAGGTTCCAATGCCTGAGTTAAATGATCAGGTTTTTGCTAACTCTCAGGGGTTTGTGAATGGAGATGATGGTCAAGAGAAAACAGTTAGCCAGAGTGAACCTGAGGATTCTGGGATAGTTGGTTCACAAGGCAAAGATGTCTCAGTGCAGGCAGAGAAAGAGGCTGAGGTTGAACAGTCAAGGCCAAATAGTGATAGCAAAAGGAATGTACTAATTGGCAAACTAATGAAGTCAATCTTTGACCGAAAAGGCCAGATTTATCAGGATCACCACCTGGAATTAGGGAAGAGGTGCTCTGCAAGACTGGGAGAAAAGAGGGGTCAGGGAGAGGTTTCCCAAGGCAAACAGAATGCTTTTGCTATGGCTTTCTGAATAAATATAGGGCCTGTGAATCTATAGTCTTCAGTGAATCCAGCATTTGATTTCCATGTACAAGCATGTCCTTTGTTTCATGCCTGTTCATGCTGAGATTCATGTATACTCTAGCCTTGAATTCATGCTCATGCTGAGATCTTTGTAAGCTGTTAGTCTTGGTTTCAAGCTCCTGCATTTGGATTTATTGGTTCAAGTTTGCTTTTGTTTCTTCAAGGGACTTTGGTCTTTACCACTCTCTGGAATGGAAAGACTTTACTCCTGTGGACTTCTTTATTGGAATTTTGGGGCCTTCCTGTTTCCTGACTTGGATTTTGACTGGATTATATTATATTGCTCATCTGACTATTTTGTGGACATTTCCTTATTACTTGTTTGAATGCTTTTTACCTTTTTTGGCTATTGCTATATTAATCTTCAATAAACTGCTTTGCTCATAAAGAGCATTGGTGTGTTTATGGGTTCAAAGGTGCCAACCCCAGTCTTGGTGTGCAACAATCACAGATTCCACTTTGACTATTCCCTGACTGCTAGTTTTATGCTAAATACACGTGTGTATTTGAATGCAACATTGTGTCAAAATTTCATTTTACTATAAAAAATGTGTGTATTAAAATGCAACATTGTGTTGAAATGCCCAGTCAATTGACTGACTACTTTCCGAGTTTTGCCAGCACAAACATATGCGAGATGATTTTATATATAAAGATTTTTGTAATTCTCTGGCTGCTTCATTAGGTACAAGGGGAGAGAGTCCAAGGAGGAATGCTCTGATGTGGGTCCTGGTATTAATGGAAGGATATTGTGTGTTTGCACCATAGGCCAGAGTCTTGTAGCCTTAAGAAAAAAGAATGCAAGAATATTTATGCAACAATAAATAATATAATGTTTCGTTACACAATAAATAATATAATGTTTAATTACACAGAGTTAAGTTGTCCTAATTATTTTGAGGAAGTGAGAAAGCAAAGTGATTTTCACTGTAAATTATTATTATTTAGAAGCAATGTTCAAAAACTATGGATAGCCACTAGTTCAATCCAGGCAAAAGGTTCAAGTAATAGGAAAGACTCTGTCTGAAACCCTGGAGACCTGCTGCCAGATAGAATAACACAGAGCACAAAAATACCTTCCAGATGGGAAGGTAACTAACACTTGGATTCCACTTGTGTGCTGCTTTATTAAAATATAATATTCTGCACAGAGAGGAAAGGCACTCCAGGAACAGGCATTGAGGAAAGGGAGGTACCAGATTACATCCGGGGATGAGGAAGAGCCTGTTGGCTCCAGTGCCTGCGAATAAAAGAGTTTCCCCAATTCTGGAGAATCTCAGCTATCTTACAACCTGTTAGGAATTGTGGGAGCTGAAGCCCAAAACATCTGGACTAAAGATTAGGAACCACTGCTAGAAAAAGGAGGTTAAGATCTTCTGGGGAGTCCCTGCTCTCGGTCCCTGCTTCACAAGTGCGACTGGTGGGGACAAAAGACGGGGCCTTCTTAGTGGTGGCCCCTCGCCTATGTAACTCCCTCCCTACCAAAATTAGATCAACGCCCTCCCTTTTGGTCTTCAGAAAGGAAGTAAAGACATGAATGTGGGATCAAGCTTTTGGGCAATAGCAATGCAAAAGATGTAAGGAATTATGTGCAATTGACTTTTGGAAAAGCCTCGGACTTTGGCTTCTGGATTGTGTGATTTTAATGTTTCATATTAATGTTTTAATCCTATATTTAAATGTCTAAATGTTGTTTCTCTATTTACAGCATTATGGTTTAATTTAATTTATAGTTATATGTTACTGTTGTTTTATACTAGGTTTTTTATATGTTGTAAGACACTGAATTTTTGCCATTTTGAGTCGCTCCAGGAGAGAAAAGCGGTATATAAATGAAGGAAATAAATAAATACCTTCAATAGAAAAAGGGCACTTGTCTGCCACTCATCCATACTTCACCTCCAACTATTGAAACTGGTCTTGGAAATCAAAGTTTTAGCTGGAAATTTTATTTATTTATGTATTTATTTACAGTATTTATATACCACTTTTCTCACCCCTGTGTGGACTCAAAGCAGTTTACACAGAGATAATGACAAAATTCGATGCCTTACATACGTAAACCAAATCACAAATCAATACCATATAACTAAGCATAATATCAATAGGACAATTCACTATAAGATAAGAAAAAAGACTTTAAAATGAAATATAAGAATTAAAACACCTAACAAAAACATTAAAATCACATGAAGATAACTGTTTAGAGCTGCCTGCTTTGATACCAACTTCCTTTACTATCATAATTAAAGACATGTGAATTATCCCTTATCCAGAAAACCTGAAACGTTCCCAATCCAAAATCTTCCACATGAGTGGCTGAGATAGAGACACTTTTGCTTTCTGATGGTTCAATGTACACAAACGTTTCATGCATAAAATCATTCAAAACACTGTATCAAATTAAGTCTACGTGTATAAGGTGCATATGAAACATACATTAATGTTGTGCTATGGGTCCCATCTCCTATATATATGATATATGTGAACATTGCAAAATGCACAAAAATCTGAAATCCAAAATACTTCTGGTCCCAAGCATATTCAATAGGGGACACCCAACCTTATTTATTAAAATATGTTTAAAAACACACCAACTCTTTATCATAAGATCTCAGAGTAGCTTATAATAAAAATCATCTGAAACAATTTAAAATAATCAAAGTAAGTTTAACATTCTAAACTATGTCGAGAAGTTGAAAATGTTTAAAAGTTAAAATAATATAAAGTTATGCATCTTTACTGCAAGTGCAGCATTTTTCTGAAAGAAGCAAAGAGTGTTTGAGGATCAGGACATCCGTAGGGAGACCAAGGTGCTTGTTGATAAAGCTATTGTCCTCCCAACCCTGTTATACGCCTGCGAAACGTGCACTCTCTACAGACGTCACACTCAACTCCTGGAACAATTCTATCAGCGCTGCCTCTAAAAAATCCTGCAAATCTCTTGGAAAACAGGCGGACAAATGTTAGTGTGCTTGAAGAAGCAAAGACCACCAGCACTGAAGCGATGCTCCTATGCCATCAACTCTGCTGGACTGGCCATGTCATCCGAATGCCCGATTACCAACTCCCAAGGCAGTTACTTTACTCCCAACTCAAGCATGGAAAATGGAATGTTGGTGGGCAGGAAATGTTTTTAATAATTGATTTTGTAATTTTAAGTATTCTAAGTAATAGAACTTGAGTATTTTAATTTATTATTATTATTATTATTATTATTATTATTATTATTAAACTTTATTTGTACCCCGCAAGCATTGCGCAACGAGTCTTAGTTGCGCAAAAGCCCTCCCGGATTTCATTATCC